AAAAAAAAAAAAAAAAGTAAACCAGCACCATAACATACAGTAACTATTCCCAGCACCATAGCAGTCTGTAATAAACAGCTGGTGTCTCAAGAGAGCAGGAAGGAGGGAAGATGCCTATCCAAACTTCATGCCCAATTTAGACCCTGGGGCTTCATCTGGTGTTCTTAACTTTTTGAGGGCCTTGACAACTTGCAAAAAGCAGAAAGTTCCCTTGGTGGATTCAAGGGCTCCTAATCAGATCCATAATTTATTCTCACCATCCCCTGAGTGCCCAGAAACCCAATTCAGACCATCTAGCTCCACTTCAGTCACAAAACAGGGCTGAAACCACTAAGAAAGGAATTTAGATGCCAGTGGGCTGTAAATGAACTACCACAAACGTCCAAATCAAAGGGAACTACATGAGAGAGAACTGTGGGTAAAGGAGGGTTGAAATATTCCCCTTGCTTCCTCCAAGAGGATTGGAGTAGCCAATGAAAAGAAAGAAGGAGACAGAAAGAAAGAGAATGGGAATAGTCAATATGAAGAGAAGAGTCAGGAACAAGGGCCAGGCACAATGGCTCATGTCTATAATCCTAGCATTCCGGGAGGCTGAGGTGGAAAGATTACTTGAGGTCAGGAATTCAAGACCAGCCTGAACAAAAGCAAGGCTTCATCTCTACTAAAAATAGAAAAAATTAGCCAGGTGCCTGTAGTCTCAGCTACTCGGGAGGCTAAGGCAGGAGGATTGCCTGAGTCCAGGAGTTGGAGGTTGCAATGAGTATACCACTGCACTCTAGCCAGGGCAACAGAGCAAGACCTTGTCTCAAAAAAAAAAAAAAAAATGAAGTAAAAATAATAAAAGAGGAACAGAAAAGAGAGGGTGGGAAGGTCAGTGAGTGGAGAAAAAGGTGGAGAAATTAGAGAGAAAAGCTCTTTAGTTCTTAGCACAAGTAGCACAGTTGTCCATCAAGCTGCCCAAGCGGTGGGGCCTGTGGGAGCCTCCTGGATTCTTCTGCTTGCCCCCATGTCCAGACACCTAGCCATGTCACTTTTATTTCCTAAATGTAAAATCTGCCCAGTTTCTCCATCCCCACTGTAACTGCCCTGGTTCAGGTTACAGCACCAAATCCCAAAGCAGTCTCCCAAATGATCCCTGGTTCAATTCTCGGCTGCTCCAGGCCTTTCTCCACCCAGTCACATCAAGCTTCAGAAATCTGACACATCTGACCATGTCATACTTCTGTCAGCCTCCCAGTGGCTTCTGTTGTCCTGGATAGATGCAGGTCTGTCCACATGGCTCACCAGATTTCATGTCTTCTCTTTTCTATCTTCCTTGAACTTCAGTCAGAACTATTTTAGGTTCCCTAGATCTATCTTCTTTTGCCTCTGAGATTCAGAGTATGCTATTTTCTATCTCCTATCCTTACCCTCCACTGGATAATTCTGACTGGTCCCCTGAGGGATGGTCACTTCTTCTAGAAGCTCCTTCTCCTCTCCTATTCTGGGTTGGGGACTCTCATTCCTGTCTCCAAAGCTCCTGCAGTCCCCTCCCCATCCCACTCATTGTGCTGTCTTAACCCCAACTAGAAGGTTCTGGAGACAGGGACTGTTTTGTGCACTGATGTATATCTAGTGCTTTCACAGTGCCTGGTCCTCTGAGAGATGGGAACTAGGAATAAAAGAGAGGTCTTATAAGAACAGGGGGTAATATTTGGGCAAAGAAAAAAGGAAAAGGAGAAAAATAGAAGCCAACCCAAAGATGGCAAAGAAGGCTCTTTGGTGAATGGTAAGTAATGAGATTAAAACTATATGCAAGATGACCAACAGAAAGGGGAAGAGAAGAGCTGTAAGTGATGGAGTTGGAGTCAAGGAATAGTGGGAGAAGAGTCTGAGTCCTGAAAAGAGGGACAGTGAGTGGGGAGAACAAGTGAGACAGCCGTGGGGAGGGAGGAAGAGATAGACAAAGGGGCCAGTGTACTGGGGCCCATACCAAGGAGGTGGGACTCAGGGCTTGAAGTGAAAGGGGGTAGGCAGAGCTGGTGAGCTCCTGTCTGTTTGAGTTGTGAGATCCCCAGCCCTGAGTCCCTACTCTCCTTTTCCAGGTCTCCCCGCTTTTTGGCACCATCTATGATGCAGTCTTCTTGTTGGCAAGGGGCGTGGTGGGAGCACAGGCAGCTGTAGGTGGCAGCTGGGTGTCTGGAGCGGCCGTGGCCCAACAAGTCCGGGATACCCAGGTCCCTGGCTTCTGTGGGGCTCTAGGTGGAGCTGAGGAGCCCTCGTTTGTGCTGCTGGACACAGATGCAGTGGGAGACCAGCTGTTTGTCACGTACATGTTGGACCTCAGCCAGGGCTCTTTCCGCTCTACTGGGACCCCAGTGCACTTCCCTCATGGTGGACCAGCTCCCGGACCCGACCCCTCATGCTGGTTCGATCCAGATGTCATCTGCAATGGAGGTGAGGACGAGCACTTCAGACTCCACAGGGACAGTCACCATGGACTGTCCACAAAGCGGTGAAAGAGAGGGAACTCCCATTCTGAAATTCTTCCCCGTCTAGATCCTTTCCAGCCTCTGGCTTGTGCAGGTCTCTTCACTTGCTCAGCCCCAAACCTCTCTTGGAAACTTTCTAGCATTCCCAGACTCTTCCCTTTGAGGACTTTTTCCCTAGAGCCTACCCAGACTCCCAGATTCCTGTCTTGGAGCCACCAGTATTTGGCATGACTATGTGCCTATATAGAAAAGGAGCCTCTCCTGGCCACGTTCCTGAGTGTTCTTCCTCTCTCTGTTCCTTTAGGAGTGGAGCCGGGCCTCGTCTTTCTTGGCTTCCTCCTTGTGGTTGGGATGGGGCTGACTGGGGCCTTCTTGGCCCATTATGTGAGGTGAGTAGGCACAAAAGGTAAGTAGGCAGATGACCTTAGCTCTCTAGCTACCAGAAATGAAACTGTTCAGCAAAGACAGAAGACTGAGGTCACTTGAGAGTAAAAGAGGAGAGGACTTGTCTTGGGTGGGAGTGGGCAAACCTAGCCAGTTGGCAGAGTCCTGGGGATGTCCAGTTTGGGGATGACCCTTCCCTTGAGTTAACGTTATCCCTCCACCCCCATCTGCTGCTGACCTCTTCTCATGGACTTGTGTCCCCTTTGTGGAGATGACCTCCTTCACCCACCAGGCACCAGCTACTTCACATTCAAATGGTCTCAGGCCCCAACAAGATCATCCTGACGGCAGATGACATCACCTTCCTCCACCCACAGGGAGGCAGCTCTCGAAAGGTAGGGGAGGCAGGGAGCCAGGGCCCAGCTGTCCTCTCCCTTTATATTTGATCCCTTCCTAGGGACAGACCTCACCCCAGGCCCCACCTGGGAGATCTGGTTTCTGAGCCCTGTCTCAGGTCTGAGCTCTAGGGGTCAGTGCCCTCATCTGTGCACTGAGGATGACAGCCTCTGTCCTGACACTCTCCTGGGATGATGTGAAGGCGCAGTATAAAAAAATGAATGTTTGCTTTGTCAACTGTAAAGTGATGTGGACTTGGGGAGTAATGTTAAGATTCCTTCCTCTTCTCTCTTTAATCCTCAAAGCTCAGCCTGACCCCAGAGTATATTCTGACCCCTCACATTGACCTCTACCCCCAGGTGGTGCAAGGGAGCCGATCGAGTCTGGCTGCCCGCAGTGTGTCAGACATTCGCAGTGTCCCCAGCCAGCCCTCAGACAGCTCCAACATTGGCCTCTATGAGGTGAGCCTGACCCTCAGCTAGGCCAAGCCCTACTCTAGGAGGGGTAAAGGGGAAAGATGCTCTGGGCAGAGAGCAGCTGAACTCTCGAGGGAGGTGTTCTGTCATGTTAAACCCTGCAGGCTCTAGGAAAGAGGTACAGGATCTAGGGGAAGACCATTCTTCAAAGGGAAGCATCTGGAAATCCTCCCTGCCCCAGGGTTTTCCCTTAGCCGTTATCCAGGTGAGGAGTCCCCAAAGGCCAATTACAGTGACCCAGAGGTTGGAGGCTGGAGCAGTCAGGGAGCATGCTGGGACCACTGGTCCTGCCCCCTCAGCATATCTACCCTACTCACACTAGGAGCAAGTCCTGGAGGGGAACAATAAAGTTACAAAAGTACCTTAGGGCATTAACTATGGGGCCAGCATGTCTGACTGTGGTGGAATGGATGGGAGATAATGAGAACAGATTCAGAGGGAGCTGAGAGAGAGCTCAGCCAAGTGGAATTTAGAGCGCTGAGCTTCAGGTCACAGGAGAGAATGCAGAGGCTCCTATTATGCTGCCCACCATCATCACAGCTGTTGTTCAAGGGGGGAGCTATCGTCATTTTGGGCAAGAGGTTCTTCATTGTATGGGACTACCTTGGCCCTGAAGAATGTTTAATGTCTCTAGTCTGCCCCTATCCACTAAATGCAGCCTCCAATTTTTGTGACAATTTAAAATGTTCCTATATTTATTTCTAATCCCCTACAATTCCCTTCTAGTCCAAATTCCTTGCCAACAGACAGGGCCACCTACAAAATTAGCAAGGTCCAGGACAAAATAAAAAATGAGAGATACGGCTCGGCGCCTATAGCTCAAC